CTGTCAAGGGCAATTGTGGGGAAGACTCGGTAATAACTGATTATAATATAGTCAAACTCTGCATTTAATGCAAGGGGGTTTTTATTGATTTATAAGTGAAATATGTAATTTAACCCTTCCTTTTTAATCGGTAACTTCTACAGCAGTGCTAAACCATGAAATTATCAAAAATAAATCAGACAATTGAGCAGATAGACCAATTCTATCAACACTTACATGCATTCAGGTTTGTGAGACTTCAGTGGAGATGAATGGTGACATGATTTGGTTTCAGGTATCCCTGCTACTAGAGAAAGAAAATCCTTTCAAATGTAGTTATCTGATAGAATTTGTCTTGGATTTAATAACTTAATTTAAAATGGCTTAGTGATTTTTTTTTTTGTTTTGCTTTGTCATATTAATCACAACCTTAGCCTTTATTCATCACATTTTACTAAGGTGAAACTGATGAATTGAGGGGTTGATGAACTCATGAAATTTTGGGGGTTTTGTATCAAAAAAGCCACTAAGACATTTTGTTTTGTTCAGACTGAAGGTTGAAGCTCATCTAGAGAATCTGTTTGTGTTCATAATAGAGTATTTTACTAAGTGATAAATGCAATTTTTGTGTGTATGTTGGGACCAGACTTTGAAATCTGAGCTTAATACCAGAGGTATTAATGGAAAGAGAAAATAATTGAGAGCTATCTTGAGATAGCTGATATTCCAGTAACTTGAAGTAGCTAATGCCCCTGTCAGCTGTTGCATAAAAGCAACCCATAGAAATAATGTGGTTGAACATTCAGGTGGAATTAAAAAATTTTCATTCTCCATTATCTCTTTGTTAGACTTACAACAGATTGTGTAACAACACTGAAATAGTGGAGTATGATTTGGTACTACTGACCATCTGCTTATTTTATATGTCTGAGGCTGATCTTCCACTCAGATGCCTCAATATGAGATAATGGGTCAATGCTGCTGTGGCTGAAGTTCATTTGCTCTATAACATGATCAAACTTTACAAACAGGACAGTTAAGAAATAACCTTATGGAGACAACATAAGAAAGAGACATACAGAAGGCATTAAGAGAAGACAGAATAACAAAAGTCTTACTAGCTGTTGAAAGAAAGTTTTGGTGCAAGGAAGTTGAATTAAGCTGTGGAGAGCAGAAGATAAATGGCAGAATTACGTATTTTAAGGTAAGAAACATGGGGAAAAAGTAGGAAGAAGGAAGAGAAGAGAAAAGATAAGACTGTTTTAATACTTTTTTTAACAGTTATTTTGGTTCTTAAAGAAGAAAATAGACATCAATAATTCCTTTTGCCAAATGTTTTCTTTAACTATTGAATGCAGAATTTACAGCAGTTTCAGTAGCTTGAACTCTGCTTTCTAATCCTCTTGAGAAAAAAATAGCTTTCCACCTTTACCTGTCACATATAGGTTATCAGCTGAACATTGTTATGAGTGGTTGGAAGATTCTGCATTGCCTATATATAGACTCAGAACTCAAAGCTATTGAGAAATTGTTTTAGTGAGTCATTACTCAACAAAAGATCCCAAATAGTAAGCTGTGTGAATATTCCTGGCATACTCTACTTTCAAAGTAAAATACCATAACCACAATGGAAGTAGGTTCTGTAGGTGTCTCTTTAGGTTTCCAGATTACCAGTATCCCTATTTCACTTCTGCTTGGCATGGGCTGTAATCATATACACATTTATTCCACTCGAAGGATTCTGTCTGTGCATCACTTACTCTTGCTATTGTAGATTTTATTTCTCTACAAGCACTTACGTATTTTCCTGAGCTTTCTTGCTCTCCTTTTTTAGGAGTTGGTCTCTGTGATGGTTTGACTCTGGCTAAATGCCAGGTATCCACCAAGTCGCTCTATCACTTCCCCCCCTTTTCCCCTTGTTTCTCAACACGGCAAAGAGGGGAAAGAAAATAAGATAAACCAACCCTTGTGGGTAAAACAAAAGCAGTTTTAATATAAGCAAAATGAAGCAAAGGTTCACGCACGGAAGCAAAAGCTAACAGATTTATTCTCTACTTCCCACGAAGAGGCAATGTCGGCCCTTCTCAGGAAGCAGGGCTCCAATACGCGTAGTGGTTGCCTCGGAGGACTAAGGGTGACCCCACCCCCTTCCTCCTTTTTCCCAGCTTTATACTAAGCAGACGTCACATGGTATGGAATATCCCTTTGGTCGGTTTGGGTCAGCTTGCCTGGTTGTGTCCCCTCCCAGGATCCTGCCCACCCTATCCCACTGGAGGCAGAAAATGTCAGAGCCTTGGTGCTGTGTAAGCACTGCTCAGCAGTAGCCACAACACCAGGGTGCTATCAACACCCTGCCAGCTCCAACATAAAATACAGAACCGTGAGGGCTGCTATAGGGGAAAACCAATTCCAGTTCAGCCAGACCCAGTACAGTCTCATATCAGAGGTTCAGATGTCCTCCCCATTTCTCTTCATCTAGTCCAGATCAATGCCATGTATGCAAGAACTCTTGTCATTTTCTTCCAATTCTAGGAATTGTATGTATTTGTTTCCTGTAATCCCCTTTAAAAAAAAAAAAAAAAAAAAAAAAAAATAAGTGAGTGTAGTTTTGGGAAATAAAGCAAAAATGAGCCTTCCTTAGGCTAAGGGGGGTTAAAAGATGCCATTTTATTTGACCTATAACAATTATGCTCCATAATTATTCAATTTCTCCTGCTTTTTACTTCCCCTGGATTTCCACTTTCCTTCAAATTCATATAGTTTTGTCCATTTATTTATACATAGAACTTGGATAATTAAAGAGGAATAAATGTAACCTATCAGGTGTGGAATTTGTTCGAGGTGAGCATGTCTGCATAGGCCTTATATTCATGCTATCTCTTCAAGCATAATGTCTTCTGGTTGCCTGAGGTTAAAGAGTACCATGCAGAGAACCATGCAGTCTTTCTCTGAAGACATTGGAATTTTGATGTTTCTAGACCTTTTACATTTAACCTATTTTCCATAGCAGTGTGTTCCAGTAGGTAATTATGAGTACTGTTGCATTTATCTCTTCTTACTTGAGATTTTTTGGCTTAAGTCTATAGCAACTTGTCCTTGATTTGTGTTTGTCTATTATGCCAAAAAAAAGTCTATTCAGTACTTTCTTCTTATGAAGATTGTTCTACCCAGTTGTTGATAAACAAAGCTGTCAAGGACCTGTCTCATAAAGAGTTTTCTCCATTTTGCTCACATATGTAGTATTTATGTCTTTGCTCTATTTTTTTTTTTTAATCTGAAATTATTTCAGTTTTTGTCTCAACTTTATATTCTAAAAGGAGAGAAGAATCATCTTCCAGTTCTGGTTTATTTCTGCTTGTACATGAAAAAACTGCCTTAGCAGTTTTCCCCACTCTGCCACACCATGAACATGTGTTCAGTTTCTTTGTTATGAAACCCAAATCATTCTGGATTCATGACTACAAGATACATCCTTTCTGGTTGTCTGAACTTAACACTTAACAAGAAGCTTGTGCCAAAATGCATTTTGTTTGAATGGTCCTGATTCATCAGGCAAATTCAAGCCTATTCATATTATTTTAATCATCTTTGTGATCTGTGCATTTTGTTTGACAATCACTGAAAAATGAAGCAGCCCAATTCTGTGATACCTTACTTTATACCATTTATTTTTACATCCTTTCTTAATAAATAGTTCTTTTGTCAGTCTTTCATTCTTTTGAAGTTTTTGCATGTATTGTCCTCATACAACATTGTTCTATTATTTTTTTAGAGATTGACTGAGCAGAGTAAGTAGACTATTTTAAGAAAGGATATACTAGAGTTTATACATGTCTTTGTTAGGTTTTGACTATTTTTTTTTAACTTCATAGCAGTTGGTTGTTATTATCTCTAGATAAATTTTGAACAAGGAATAGTTTAATACTGCAGCTGAATTTCTGTTAGGTTTTCCCTACACAGAATAAAATAATTTCTGTAATTAATCTATGGCCTTGTTCAACCAGCATTTCTCTTTCTAACTTTCTCTTTTTCTGCTGTTGTCAGTCATGAAATATCTGTAACAGTCTTGCACTGGATCCTTATTAATGTCAGACTTTTAATAGTGGTAAGAAATTGACTGAATTTTACTACTGCGTACAAGTATGTTCAGATTTTTTGCTATAAAAATTCATATAAACATTATTTTCCTATTAAGTTTTGATCTTCTGCTGTTGCTTAATGCTTTGTACAAAATTTGCATCTCTAACGAGAAACCATAATAAATACATTTACAGAATATATATATTCCTAGAAATACTTGAATTTGCCAGGAGTACTATGAATCTGTGACATATTTACTAAAAAGAATAGTAATACTGGCTTTACTTATGTGTATGTAGATTTGAACTGTTTTTACAGTTCATGGTAAAATGTTTTGTCAACCTTCCTTCACTTGAAAGAAAATTCTATGTAGGAAATGTGCTACAGAATTGTATCAGCTTACAAAATGCAAATCTAAATGAGTTTAAACTCTTTTTAGTTCAGAAGAGATGAGATTATTATTGCATTATAGCACCTGTCTTATATATAAAGCAGAGCTGTTTGTACTTATTAGTACTTAACCCCTTGCACAAGTTGAAGTGATCCCTCAAAGATATTTTACACATACGATATTCTTGTAAACTAAATGAAAGCTCTAGAGCAAGTAACTACTTGCTAGAATGTGTTCCCTTCCTTATTTTTTTCCCCCAAACCAGCTTTTTAAAAGATGCAAATGTCCATTTTTTTAAGGCAGGCATTTTTAAAATAAGAATATTTCTGCTACATATGTTACGTCCAGACCAGTATCTCTGTCCTGCCACAACTATTGTAGAAGGACAGTGACACTGAAAGCAAACCCAAATCTTTTCATGCCTTGGATTATAGCTTTTCTCTGTCTAATGAGTAAATAGACAAATGAAGTAGTTTTTTTCTTCAAGTTTTTTCAAAATTGAGTTGCTTTACTTTGGAGTGTTAAAATGAAGGATAATCTTCCTGCACAGGATCGAGGAGATGAATTCACTTACACTGGGAGTGGAGGTAGAGATCTTTCTGGCAATAAAAGAATTGGAGAACATTCATTTGATCAGACATTAACACACATGAATAGGTAAGTTTTGGAGATAAAATTAAAAAAATATTCCAAGACAAAGAGCTGAGTTGTAATGCTTTAATTTATAAGTAGCATTTTGCTATATTGATTCCCTGCTGTACATGCTGTTTTTGTAAACAGTGGTGCCTCTTGCTACTAAGAAGAATTTTATCAAGCATTATGTTTTGTTGATTTAAAGGAACATGCACTTCAGTTAAATATACATTGCTGTATTGCTGGTGCAGCTAGTAGTTATGTCTCTGGTTGAAATTGTCCTACAATTTCTTTCAAATTATTCTGTTCTAATTTAAGAAGCTTGTCAAAACTCTTGGGTGGAAGTTTTCTATTCTGGGTCTTTCTTTTAAGTTTCTTCCTCAATGGTTAAATCAATTATGAAGTTTAAGTAGGAAGAAAGCATATTCATTTTCCCACATTAAAAGAAATCTTTACTATTTCGCTAGTGCTTTCTTCCATCATAGTTTTCCATGAAAAGCAAGGAATTAGGGTGTTGCTTTACCAAGAAAAAAGGAACACATATTTCCAAAAGATTAATTAGGCATATGCTTAAAGTTTTGTCATGCCCTCTAAAAGCTTGCTGGAACAAAGAGTTCTCCATCATTTTCTAAGAGCATAATCTCTTACGCAACTGACCACTTAACACCTGTAGAGTGCTGATATTGACTGAGACCTTTTCTTTGCCAGGTCTACTTTTAGATATGATCATCTGCTGTCAAGCAGAGCAGGGTGGGATTCTTTCAACCTTTTTGGTGGTAGTCAAGAGGACAGAGAGGAAAAGCCTGACTTGGCTGCTGAGAAAGGGAGGGAGGGAATGAGAGAGGGGACATGATGTGAACCGGAGGAAAGGAAGATGGAAGTAGGTTTAAACAATATGTTTACAAGCATATTTAGGGAATAGAGCAAACTTGCTTTGGGAAGGAGAATTAAAAGCTGGACTCTTTAGTCTGAGCTTTTCTCTGCTCTTAGCAAATGAGAAATTCACTGGCAAAGCTTGCCTTGTAGCTTTGCAGGTGCTAGTGCACAGGGAGTGTAAGAAGGTGCTGCTCTTGGTTACTGATTCTGATACAAGCACTTTGATACTGATGATGATGATGATGATTCCATGTAGTTGAATCAGTATTGGTTTCGCTTGTCCAAACATTTTTCCTTTTTAAGCTTTTTTAATATAAGAAACATTTTTAAAGTCAGCATTGTATTAAGCCTGTCTTTTACAGTTCTGTACAATATTTGTTTTATATACTCATACCATGGCTGTTCACAAACAAGATCACAGATCTTCCATTTGAGATCTGTGGTTTGGTTTAAGTCTGATTCTAAAGTGTTTTCAATTCCTGATCAAATGAGGCTGTGATAGTAGAAATACTATTCATTAGGATGGCTTGGTCTGGTAGATACTCATACTGTCTTGCTCCAGGTTTCTAGAAGAGGCTCTTCATGTAGTTAGTGGATAAAGAAGTTAGCTTGTCCTTGAGTTAGCTATTATTATTTAACTCCTATTCTGGGATAATTTATGTATTATGTGAGAGATTTCAGTTACTTAGAGCTTTTTGAATGGTTACTATGTACTTTTTTTCTCTATACTGTTTTTCATTATATTCACTACTTTTGTAATGGGGAATAGTGATAAGGAAAGTTTGCCTTTTGTTATAATTTTCTTTTAATTCCCTCAATGCTGTTTAGGAAGGGGTTATTTTTTAAAATGAAGAATATTAAATCTAACAGGATTGGTTTGGTTTATTTGGCCGTATCAGCTGTGTTTTCGTCTGGAACCTTGACTATAAAATATTCTGTGTTCCCATTTTTTTTTTTTTACCATACATGGTAGCATGGATCTCATTGCTTCCATCAGTTCTGCAGTTGTTCAAGAATATATTGAAAAGTCTGTGCTGCTTGATAACACATAATTAGACAAGGGAAATAGATATGACTTAATTACATTAATTCTCAAAAACCTGTTGTGTGAAGCAAACTAGTTTATGAAGATTCTAAATCTCTTTCTAGGGCACTGGCTCTTAACTGTGATGCCCCATTGGATGACAAAAATGGAGCAGAATCTAAGAATTGGAGAGCTGGTAAGCCAGTCAGAGTAGTGCGCAGTTCAAAAGGACGACGAATCAGCAAGTATGCCCCGGAGGAAGGCAACAGATACGATGGCATTTACAAGGTATTCTGATTTCTACTGAGTGCAACATAATGTTTTTCTTCAGCTGTTTTAAAAGGTCTCATACATTGCAAATTCTTCCTTATTACTTAAAATATTTTTTTTTCTCCATGATAGCTTGTTAGCCTTAGCTTATTTTGCAAAGAACTGAAATGAAATTATTCTGAGCAGTGATAATAGAACATAATCCATAAGGTTGAATATGTAAGCTACTTCGTATGTGCTTAATGAGTCATATTCATCCCTGGAAATCTAATTATTTCCTCGCTCCTTCCAATTATATGCTGGATTTCTGTGTGTTTAATGATGTCTCAGCATCTGAAATAAAAATGTGTGCCTTTTAAGAACACACACCTTATAAGTTTCACACCTGAGCTAAGAACTGCTATGTCATAGTAATATATAACTTAGGCTTCTCATTTCTTCTTGAATAATTACAACTATATGCATGTGTTTGGCTTCTGATAAAATGACAGTAATTTTATATTGTTCTTTAGGTGGTGAAATATTGGCCAGAAATTGGAAAATGTGGATTTTTAGTGTGGCGCTATCTTCTGAGGAGAGATGACATTGAGCCTGCACCTTGGACCTCAGAAGGAATGGAGCGATCAAAGAAACTGGGTTTGAGTGTACAGGTCTGAATGAGGACTCTCAGAGTTGTTTTCATTCTCAGTTACAGTAAATGAATTCCAGAAACAAAAATTGGTTAAATTATAGCCCCATTTTTTTTCTTGTACTTCACTATGGCAGTATTTAATGCCAAAACCCACTACAGATTATCTGCAGACTGGAAGAATCCTGTAATAGTGACACAGCAGAAGGGATAGTGGATAAAGCTTTCTGCCTTAGCAGTGAATTGTTTTGCATATGTGGAAAATTAAGAGTTTGAATGCAGTTTTGTGATCCTTAGGCTGGGAAGAATTCCTGCAAGTGAATATTCTTATAGCTCTGTCTGAAAAATCAAAAAGCCTGTGCATTTGTATGTGTTTTTTCTCTCCATGTGACTGAGGAATTTGTATAGAGAGTGTATTTCAGGCACAGAAATAAACTGACCCATGAGGACTTGGGCATTGTAGAACCCATGAAAGATGAAAAGATTTAACATACTGTTTGTTTTCTCAGCAAGGCAATGGTATATCTTACTGCATACCATCATCTTCAACTAACTGATAAGTATAGTTGAAAGGGCATAGACAGGAGTATTGGGTACTTTTAAATGCAATCAAGTCTAGATTAGATTCTTTGACTTGGTTACACTTTCTTAATAATAGACACTAATTTAAATGTTTTCTCTATAATCATAGAATCATAGAACAGTTTGAGTTGTATTGGACCTTAAAGATCATCTATTTCCAACACCTTCCACCAGACCAGGTTGCTCAGAGCCCCGTCCAACCTGGCCTTGAACACTGCCAGGGAGGGGGCAACCACAACCTCTCTGGGCAACCTGTTCCAGTGCCTCACCACCTTCACAGGACAGAATTTCTTCCTTATATCTAATCTAAAACTACCCTCTTTCAGTTTAAAACCATTATGCCTGTCCTATCACTACACTCCCTGATAAAGAGTCCCTTACCATCTTTCCCATCAGCCCCCTTTAGATACTGGAAGGTCCCTATAAGGTCTCCTCGGAACCTTCTTGTCTAGGCTGACCAACCCCAACTGTCTCAGCGTGTCATGTAGGGTTTTAAGAATGATTATGTAGTTATTTTAATATATAGTCACAGGGTTTTAAAGCCTTTTAGAAATTGTCTTGTTAGTATTTGGGAATTCCTGTATGTCAGTGGGTTTTGTTTTAAATCTGCTTTTTTTATTTTAGTATCCGGAAGGTTATTTGGAAGCCATGGCTAGTAAGGAGAAGAAAGATAAGGTTAAAAAGCAAACTGTAAAACAGGAGCCAACCAGCCAGAGTAACGGAAACCAGAAAAGGACAATTGATGATGGTATTTCTTTTTACTTTTTTAGCATTCATCAGCAATGTCTGTCATGTTACATTTTATTAAGCCAGTAGTATGAAACTTAGCAGAAGTCTGAAGTTACTTGGAATACTAGTGTACATTAATAAGCACATGCTCTGTAATTAAGTAGTAGTATAGAGAAATAATCCTATTTACTACTCTTACAGATTTTTTTTTTCTCTTAAGCTCTGTAGAAAAATGAACTGTGCAGCTGCCTGCTGCAGTTCAGTGCTGAACAGTATGAGTTGGAATAGGGATTTGATTGCTCATTTCATGAGTCTAATACATGTTTTAGACTTTCAGAAGTAGTTTTGTCTTCCCCTTTTATTAGTTCAGACTAACACTCTGTAGTTACCGTGTCTAATGGTCATAATCTTAAGCAGGTATAGAGGAGCCTACGAATACACCCAAAGCCATGAGAATGGGAGATGGAGGGAAAGGAGAGGCTTTCCAGCTGACCCAAGAGCAGCAGTGGCTGATTAGAGAAGACTGTATGAACCAGAAACTGTGGGATGAAGTACTTGCTTCCCTTAAGGAAGGACCAGTATGTTTGCTACATGCATAATTTTCCATGTTTACCTTTTGTTTAGACTGTTAGGAGAAATCTTGAATCTCTCTTAAAACCTAATTTGCTTGTTGAACTTTTGCTGAATACAAAAAATGTGTTTAGCATTATTTTTATTTGAAAGACTTTGATTACAAGAAAATAAGCCTCGCTTGTACCGTTTGCTGTTGATAGGTCAGTTTACACCTGCATAATCGAGAACTTTTCTTGCTTAAAAAACATTTTGGGAGTTAGAACTGGCTATTTTTTTCTTCTCATTTTTGAAAAGAGCGTTTTTTCTCTAAATTATAAATGTGGTTTTGTGCTGTGCTAATGTGAGAAATCAGACAAGAATAGAAATGGTTCTAGTCACTACGTTTTGCTTAGAAAATAATTTTATGACAGAAAATACAGGTTGTTTGCTTTAAGAAGATAGAAGTACTGTCGTCTTTAAATTTAGATAGGAAATGAAAATGTTTTCATCCAAATCTAGATTATCCCACTCTGTAGAGAAGGGAACCTTATGTAATAGAGAAAATACTTTCCTCCCCCTAAAAGGAAAAAAAAAATAGTAAGAATAGCTCAAGATTGAAGAGACTATAGAAACTACTATTAAAAAAGTCCACAAGAAGAGTATCTCCTGAAATAATATGTCTTTCAGTGATAATTAATCTTACCAGTGTCACATTCATAGTTACTTTTAGCTGTTTTTTTTAGAAGAAATGAAGTCACTAAGAAGTTAAAATAACTTGATAAAATTCAACTCAGTGTAAAACAAACCATTGGTTGGAAAACGTACGTAATTAGTTTGAGAACTACCACTAGCTATTTATGGTGCTTCTGTAACAGAAAAAGCATCTATAACTCCCTGTTCTTCCACTTACGGTAGTATTTTTTGCTGTAAGGCTTCTGCAGTTGTCTGGAGAAAACAGTCATTTAAAAGTGGTTCAGTTACTGAGAAGTCATTTAGCTGCGGATTCCTACCCATAATTTTGGTAAGATTTCCATTTGGTTGCCACTAAAGGCAATGGGAATCACTGCTAACTTTGGGTCGCTACTGTGAAAATGTAAATCCTTCTGGTCGAAACACCCACCTTCCCTTTTAACTAAACGTGGTTTAAGATAAATCTGGTATTTTAAAAATTATTACAAAGAACCTTATTTTGATTACCCATAGATCTGCTTTCTACTTTTCTATACCCAAGCTTGTATTCTTGAGATATTTGGAGATCACTAACATGCCAGAGATAAGCATGCTTGTGTGTGTAAAGCCCCTGATACAGTTGTATCTTGAAGATTCCTCAGAGATGCCCTGAGAAGATTTATAAACCAGGGAGATTGATTTACACAATGCAGAGAATTTGGCCTGAGGAGAGAAGAAGCCATTAAGCTAGCCATAATCCATAAGCACAGGAGAAGGTGCAGAAGTGGCTTTCTTAGAAAAGTAAGTTCCCTTGGCAGAGAACCAGATATCTTTCAGGGACATGCAAATTTTTAGCACCAGTTACTAAACACACTTACTAAATTTTCTGACCTATGCTAAGAATCAGGCATGAGGGGCCCTCAGGTCTCTTTCATTTTGTTTGTAACAATACTCATACAAACAACTAAGTGATCTTTAAAACACTAGTTCTCTGATTTGTGGAAGAGCAGGGAAATAAAGCAGGTAAGGGCCTGTTTCCTGATTACTTTTAGAAAGCTGCACTCATGGATGTAGAGAACTTAAGAACTTCTGAAAGCTCATCATCTTTATGTAATAATGACATTTACGAGAACTGTAATAGAGTTGATCTTTTTTATTCCTTTACCCTACACTAGAATTTTCTGAAGAAACTGGAACAATCCTTTATGTGTGTCTGCTGCCAGGAGCTGGTTTACCAGCCAGTGACAACAGAGTGCCTCCACAACGTCTGTAAAGTAAGAATAAACTTGGTCTTGCTCTGGGCTGTTTTCTTGGCTCTAAGACACCAGTCACCAAAGCCATATGTATTTTAGAAAGACAATATTGTCTAACATTCTGAGCAAAAACATGCAACAAGTTTGCATTCAGTTACTGCTATGTAACTTTAATTTTATGTAATAAACTGTGGAAGTATGTTCAGTACCATTCCTGATAGACGTAATGAGTGAAGTTTACCACTGCTGCTGTTCCTTTGTGATCAGGGGAGTTACACTAGGAATTGGTTTGGTTCAGGAGCTAGATGTTGGTACAGTAACAATAATTTAATTTTATGAAGTTAAGGAATAACATCAGATTTTATAATGGTGTAACACTCTTAATAAGAGCTGTTGAAGGGATGCAGGGTAAATACAAGAAAATTATTTGGGCTTATTTGGAGTAAGTGATGTTATCTTCTTAATTCTTGGCATTGTTTATGTTTGGTAGGAGGACCACAGAAGTCAGTTTATAACTTGTGTAACTTAAAAACTTGATCAGTTGGATGTAATGTCAGGAGCTTGGAATCCAGTTTGTACTAGAGTTAATTTTTGTAGCATGAGTGTGTAAAGAATCATGAGCTAAATTGTGCATGTTTGAAATGTGTCTGCCATACCTAGTATTTCTGCTTAAGAGCCTAAAGGGACTCCCATCCTACTACAATATCTGATAATGTAAGTTTGCTGTTCACGAAGATATGTATCTCCACAGTAAAAATCACTGTGTTGTTAGGGATCGCCTGCACACATGGAATTCTTATGGCTCCTTAAAAAAACATTAAAAAAACCTTTAAAAGGTGTTATAAAAGGGTTAATATATAGTATTATGGAAATTAGAAAATCATGGAGAGGAGAAAGCTGAATGGCAACAAAGTCCAAAAGCACAGAATTTGAAGATGTCAGTAAATGTTTGTGAATACAAGATACCATCCAGTTGAAGTTAACTTAAGCACTGATGCTAATGCGTCAGAAGTTGTATTATTCTACATATGTCTTTAAGGCTTAACTGACTGTCGTTCAATGAGGTAGATGGAGATTGTTACCTAAACACTTGTCATGGTTTATGCTCAGAGGACAACTGCATACCACACAGTAACTTACTCCCCTTTTCACCCCCAGTGCTGGAAAGGAGAAAGTAAAGCAAAGGCTCAGGAATGGTGATAAGGATTATGGTGATGGGCAATAGACA